CTTTGTCCCTCTGGCCCTCTTGGCCATCACTGATGGCCTTGGTTGTAGCTAGGTCACCCTGCAGCCCCAGGAGGGTTAGTTCCACAGGCAAAGGAAGTGGTGTTGGACCTCTTTCCCAGTGGTTTGCACACAACTTTCCTCATGCTGGGACCCTTTAATGTATATCCTCATGCTGTGGTAACAGCCCCCTCCCCCACCATAAAGTTATTCTTTGTTGCTACCTTGTAACTGTAGTTTTGCTGCTGTTATGAATAGTAATATAAATATCTGTGTTCTCTGAGTCTTAAGCAATCCCTATAAAAAGGGTTACTTGACCCAAGGGGTTTCGACCCACAGGTTGAGAACCACTGCTCTATACCCTGCCTGACTCCATTGGTAGGATCTACCGCAGAGCCCCTCAGGAATGCAGATTTGGAAGGGATCTGTTCTCCCTGCCCCTGGCTTCTGGTCCCTCTTCTGGCTATCAGGGCTGGTCTTGTTTGTTTCAAGTGTCCCCACCCCCCAATCCTTGATAGTCCCATCCCCAGCCTCCGTTCCTGCTGTTGATGGCTTGCTGTCTGTTGTCTTTATTGTCAACTTGGCCTTCAAGGTCCAACTTAGACACTCTCTTCCTTAAATAGCTGTTCCTGGGCCTCCAACTTAGACACTCTCTTTCTTAAGTAGCTGTTCCTGGGCTACCTACGTCTGTACTGCCTACTCCAAACAGTGCTGGCCAGAGGGAAGGGTCTACAGTTTAGGCCAGGGCAACCGGTTTAGGGTGGAAAGGCAAGTCACCAAGAGACTCTGCTCTCAGGAAAGACTGCTATCTCAGAGTTCCAGGTGGTGACAGCTGACTGCCAAAGGCTGCAGGGAGGGTTTTCCCCACCTTGCCCACCTGGCCCCTCAGGGCCTACACTCCTACATCACTAGCAGTGACTTACACAACTCTGAGCCTCAGTCACTTCAATTGTAGACGGAGGACAAGGAGACTAGTGCCAGGCAGCAGGCTACAGCATGCCAGGCCTCCCTACTTCACACGTATTGGAAGCTGCAACTAATGACAACTTGATTCAGTCATCCAGACAGCGCCTGGGGGAGAGGAGATTGTAGCAACCCCGGCTATGTACTATCACACCCTTCAAGCATGCGTGTGAGTGTGTGTGTATGTGCATGTGTGTCTGTGTGTGTGTGTGCATGTGCATGTGTGTCTGTGTGTGTGTCTGTATGTGTGTATGCATGTGTGTGTGTGTGT